CCAAGGATTCTACACTCTCAGGATGGATCCATTGATGCGGAGCTATGTGGGAAAGCTGTGTGAAATGTGGAGTGGCTGCTTTCTGCGATTGACCACACTACGTTTTCATGTGCCTCTTCGAGGTCAAATGCGCATCCAGACCCTCAGCGATTTCCGTTGGAGGTTGAGTATGTGGTTTACGCTCAAACAGGAAGCATTATCTGCTACTTTGTCCCCTCTTTTCGGTCCGCTTAAGATTCATTCTGGCACTTGAATGCCACCGATTATTGATGTCTTTTCCTGAATTTTCCGAGTAGTTTCTTCCGCAGGCTGCATTTGCTAGGATACAGTCGATATCCGAAAGTTGGGGTAGGCGTGTCACCGGAAGTGACGTGCACTTGATAGAAGTTGCGTGGATAAGCTGTTGCCAGCATGCTTTGCTGATATCCAGCGATGTATGTTGGAAGCAGCTTATCCATAGCTTCTATCAAGTGCACGTCACTTCCGGTGACACCCCTACCCCAACTCTCGGATAGAGCTCCACGCTACCGCAAGCGTTCTTCACTAAAGCTGATACACATCGAAAATACCGTATCCGTTATAAGTGTGCCACGCCGGCTGGAGATAGCGGTGCCTAGTGCATCAAGATCCTAAAGATTGCAATAGAAGGTGAGAGAGAGAGTTACGCGGAAAGTATATAGACCCGAACGATTTGGTCGTTGCAACAGACTTCCATCAGAAGATATGAGGATCTTCTGACGTTTAAATGGTGTCACATTATTGTTGTGCATTGATCTTAAATTGACAAATTTACAAATTTCTGGGTTTTTATACCTCATCTCTTTCCTTTTCCTATGTATAACCTCTCTCTGAGGTGTTTCTCAATTAAAGGAAGTTACAGGTATACATTGCTGAATTCGATTCTGCTGAGGCAAATTCAACACTCCCATCCATTTTGAAAGATCGTCGCCCAAGCAATCTTCGGTAACTATGAAAAGCTGTACGCTTTCCACTCAGAGTAAGCTCTTCTTCCAATATTCTGAGTTTTTCTGATTTCTATATTTTAGTTATAATTTCTTCGTAGGAATGGTTCGTATTTATTTGTTTTAGAGACTTAGTAGCTAAGTAAAGGAATATTGTAGGAAGTTTTTCCATGAACTGTCCAAGTACGAAGATGATCCCAGCAGGCAATTGGGCTTTTGCTCGTTTCATCAGTTTTGGTGGATTATCTTAACTGAGCTCTACAGCCGCTATGTGGAGACAAGAAGCAACAACCCGAATATGGAGCCAACAACCATGGTAGTCCGCGTTTAGCCTGAAAAGTGATGTCATTCTTTGAGGTATCGTCCTAAAAGCTTGTCGTTTGAAATGCTTCAAATCATTTTTTTAATAATGGGAATCGGCATAGATCAGCATTCCAACTTCTGCAGGACTTCTTTTTTGTCTATTTTAAAGTTTAATTCACTACTTTCTAGTCAATAGAGAGAAACATGATTGGCCGCAAATAACTCGCTGCCACTCCATGCGAATCAAGCCCAGTGCAGCGGTGCACGAGGTAAGAGATACTATCAAATTGAATGTAATGTTTCTCCTCTCAAATCCTTGAATCCTGTTTTTTCTTCTGTGAAGAGGCGCCGCGCTCTTGGAATAGTTTTGTTCTGCAGTTCCCCATTTTTCGACAAGGCTTAGAGCTCTCTTGGCTCTAAGCTGTGTCCAGACATCGATTTGGCTGGATTTTGGATAGATGACTTCGGCTAAATTTATGGCCTTATTTTGCTTGTTTTGTTTATGGGGTGAGGTTTACCAAAATATTTCCAGGTATAAGTTATTGATGGAACAGCTACTCAAGCACTGCAGCAATGTAGAGGAAATTCGCGTACGTTAATGTTGTTTATTTCTTCAATTTTCAGAAAGCAGCATGTTCATCCTAGCTTCAGATTCCTTTTTGCAGTCACCTTAATTTTAAGCATTATAAAATCATTTAATGCTATGACATTGTTTTATGATTCAACATTCGTTTTAGGAAGCTTATGATGTTGTAAAGAGTCTTCCTCGCCGTGTCAATGATATTATTCACTTCAATGGACTCGAGAAGGACAAGGTATCGTAATTCATTTCAAATCGTTCGGGGTTGTAGATTGTAGGTTCAATTTGGATGGAGTAGCTTCTTTCGTGATTTCAGCTTGCTGCTTAGCATATAGTAGGGGCGTATTTTGCATAAAAGATTAGGTTTACGTGTTATGATAGACACTCAGTAATTACAAATCAGATGGCTGGCACATCATGTTCTGGTTGATTATTGTTTTTAGCTGGGTGTCGTGGGTCCGTTCGTTATGCAAGATCTACTGACAGTCTGGGAACCGAGAAACTATTTCAACAAGGCCAAGGGGAAGGATCGACAGGTGTTCTTTTATGCAGATCATGCATTAAATCATGATTCTGTTTTTTATTCAAACTCAGCGGAGCGAATTGGTGAAACTATTCAGGTTTTCCTCTTCGAGCAAGCTATAGTTATCGCGAAAAAGGTGGAATTCACGCCGAAGAATGTCAAGTACATAATCAAAGGGAAGCCTATTCCTGTGAGCTCATTTATTTCATTATTTCTTTAGTCTTTTCGTTTTAACGTTTTTATTTTTTTTTCTCAAAAAAATACGGACTAGTGAGAGCTCCTAGTCCGCGTCCAGGATTGATACCAAATAATCTCTCATACCGTTTATGGTCTCATTTGTCTATTCTATGTAGAAATAGTGTTCACTTTGTGATGTTTTGAAGGGCCGAATGAGTCCGTAAATGGAGGTAAATTTGTGCTTTTGCATTAATGGTGCGGGAATCTCAACGTGTTTTTACTCAGCTCACCCATGTTTATTGGTGCCAGATTTGCCAGGCAAAATAAGTACTGGCACGTGCATTATCTGCCCATAATAGGACACTGTACAGGCCATATACTCCTGCTAGTGTCAGTACGTTTTTCAGTTCGGAGTGAATTCGTGGCTCGCTCTAGGCAAGAGATTGGGTGCTAAATGTTCGTTATTCAGTATCTTTCTGAAAATATTCGCAGATGATTCGACTCTTCTCATAAAAATTCTTTCCAACTATCTACCTCTCTAGGCTATTCGTACTCTCTTTTTCACGCTCTTGAAAGCTTTTTCACACCTTTGAAGGGATTAAGAAGCTACTGGTCCTGGTCCGAATTCCGAATAGATAATGTGTTCTGAGAAAAAAAAAGATCAACACTGTGCTTTCGGCTTTCTTGTAAGCGAACAGAAACATCCTTGAAGTGTTTTTAGGACCCTAATTTTTTCATTTTGAAGTTTTGGGACGTAATACTATTTTTTTTTCGTTACTGGGTGGAAATGCATGCACTAAACGGTCACTAGTTAGAATCTTGTGCAGAATTCGGTTTGTTTTATTGTGTTATGGTAATCATTACAAAAACTTTTATAGCTGGCTGATGTCTCCGTCGTGGAACACGTGGAAGGAGATCCCTGTCGCTTTGGACTTCGTGTTCGTCCTTTTTTTCCTTTTTTGTTTTTATGCAGTTTTAAAAACTTATTTTTTTTGTTGAATCTTTCATACTTAATACATAAAATTCATACATAATCTTTTTGTACAAAATGTTATTTCAGGTTGGTACGGTCGCCAGTAATGAGAATCGCATCGATTTACGAAGTGCACCGCAGCCAAAGGAAGATGTAAAGATCATGTGGGTGAAGCGGATTCGTGAACTCACCCAGACACTTTTGCCTCTCAGTATGTTTTTTGATCTTATTTTTTTGTTTACCTTCCCGGACTATTTGCACTCACTGCTGACGAGTTCTTTCATTTTGCTGTGACTATTTATTGAATTTGCTAGCATTTTTCTCCTTTCATTTTGTCGTTGTCTACAGTGATATGCAATATTTATATGCTTCATCATCATTGCAATTAACGATTAGTCCAACATTATTTTTACGACGTCTAATGTTTTTAATTTCCAACAATTCAGTTCACCTTTTTTTGACTTGGTTTCATTGTCAGATCTGGGAGTGGGATTGGAGGGTGTGCCGTCATCTGGCGGTTCTTCAACGCCAGCGTCTGTCTCGACGCGGTCATCGAATGCGTCGGCTAACTCCGCTGAATATGAATCTCGTGACACTGATGAGACGTCTTCGCTTGAATCGCAACGGTTGTCTCTCCAAAGTGTCGATAGTAATCAGGTACGCTTATATTTTAGACTATTGGTAAATTCCTATGAAAAGTATCCCATTATGTGAGAAAGCTGAACAGTCTTGCTCTGAAGACGATAGGCTTCAAATGAAGTCAAAATAAAATATTCTTGTGAAACCTTATTTATCTCTGCATTTACTTCATTATTTCCATTGCATGCTGCTCAGCATACTTTGATTCATTGCTTTTTTCTTTCTATTGAACTCAAACCTCTAGTCTTCACTCTTTTCTTATTTGGGTCCTATTTAGGTCTGTCTGTAATCCTTTTTTTCCGTAGCTGTCTTTCTTGCATCACCTCATTACATTATACCCATATTGGACGTAGTATGAAGAGAGGGTCT